AAATTCATCGATTCATGAATGATTCATATTTCATACGGGGAAATGACAAAAAAAATTCTCTCTCTCTCTCTATGTGTGCGACAGATTGACAACATTGATCAAAAAAAAAACCAAACTGAAAACAATTAAAAAGAATGAAAATCGACCAAACAAAATATTGGAAAAATTACCAAATGAGAAAAAGAAGAAAAAAACAAATTGATTCGAAACACGAATGCTTGAAAAAAACGACAACGTCAACGACAACACACAAAATATCAACTGTGTATGTGTATCATTATTATCATTGAAACAATTCATTGTTGGAAAATAAAATAAAAAAATTGAAGAAAATCAATGAATCGATAATTATCAGTTGTCAGTGTGTGTGTGTGTGTATCTGTTAACCACAATCATCATCATCATCATTATCATCTCAAATCATTGTGTTTGTTGGTTCTAGTTCCCACCAAATGTTCACGATGATGATAATGATGATAAACGGAATTTTGTTTTTTTTTTTTTTTTTTTCTCAAATTCATTTATATCAAACAAACAAAATTTTCAAATTTAAAATGAAAAAAATGAATGAATAAATGATTGATTGAATCACGGTCATCATCATCATCGACGACGACGACGTAGGTAATTGTGTGTGAGAAAAACAAAAGGTAAACGAATCAACTTTGATTGCCCAAAAAAAAACAACAACAAAACAAAACGATTGGCCAATTATCAAATGATGATGATGATGATGATGACCAGACCTTTTTTTTCTTGAAAAAAGGGTCTCTTTTCATTCATTCATTTTTTTTGCACAATCAACAAATGAATAGAATGGGGAAAAAAAATTATTCGTGCTCGACGAATAATTTTTTTTACAAAATTCATGTGTACCTATATATAGGATAATGATGATAACTACCTGTAATTATCTTCATCACTTGATGATGATGATGATGATGAACGTGTTGCAAATATCATTTAGTTTTTCTCTGTCATTTTTTTTGTTCTGGTTAAATTACACTATTCGAATGAATTTTAAATGTTGCTTTTCATGTTGTGTTGTTGTTGTTGTTGTTGTTGTTGGTTGAAAATTCATGAATTTTTTTTTTGTTCGTTGGAAACAAAAAAGAAAATTTCACATTCACACTGGTGGTGGCGATGGTGGTGGTGTTTATAGAAGCAATGTGTGTGTGCGTGTGGTAATAATTGAATCGAATGAATTGGACAATAAGGCAGATGCCTGGATTTTTCGACGATAAATTGCCAAAAACAAAAACAAAACAAGACATTCTGACATTAAAATAAATGATGATGATGATCAAGCAAATTAATCAATAATAAAAAAAAATAATGATCAAACATCAATAAAAATGTCACGATATCGACATTTTATAGAAGTATTTTCTTTTTTTTTCGGAATTGAACCCAAAAACAAAAGGCCACCTGTATGGAAATCATACAGGTTTGATTTTCAAAAAAAATTTTAAACACAAAATTCATTGCAAAAAATGACCATTGACCAGTTTATTTATCATTCATTCATTCATTCATCATCATCATTAACAATGGCCGTCAAGCGTAAGGAAAACAAAAATTATTCCCACCAAAGAAAATGACGATGATGATGATGAAGATGATGATGAATAATAAAGAAAATTTAATTTGAAATAAATTTACAATTCAAAAAAAAAATTTAATTTTCCATTTTGTGGATAATTGATAATCACACACACAGATAAACTAAACTGAACCCAGCACTACTTGTTTGAATGTATTATTATTAAACCAGATGATGGCCATATTATTCATGGGTTTCATCTGATTAAATCAAAGTTTTTAATGATGATGATGATGATTATGATAATGATCTTGATAATTGTAAAGAAAATGAATCATCATCATCATCAACATTATCATTATAATAAAAAAACGATTAATTTTATATAATAAAGAAAGAAAAGAGAGAGAGAGAGAGAGCGAGAAACAAGACAATTGTGAATCGATAAAATTATTTTCAAAAAAAAATCGAATTCAAATTGATCACCTACCTCGGTTTCATTATCATCCAGAATTGATTTCAATTGTAAATTTGATTTTGATTTTGAAACATTTGTGAAACAAAAAACACACACATAGACAAACAAATGATTCTGGTTGTAGAATTTTACATACACACACACACACAGACACAGGAAAAAAAAAAACACCGGACAATGTATTGTTTAGTGAATAAATGGACACATACGAAATGGCGCCTAAAATTCAGTTCCGTTTATATTATTATTATTATATGAAACACAGACACTTGATATGGTTGTTTGTGTGTGTCTGTGCATATGTACAATCCACCGAACTATACATCATCCAGCAACAATCTGATTTTGGAAAACAAAAAAAAAAAAACGAAATAGCAAACGACGACGACGGCGACGGCGACGGCGGGAGAATCATTTTGTCGTTCTTCGTTTCATTGTTGTTGTCTATATTTTTTTTGGCATGAATTCTTTCGCAAATGATAGTAGTAGTAGTAGTAGTAGTAGTAGTAGTAGTGGCATGTATATTATAATGATAATGATTGTGGTGTTTATATATTTTTCATTGAAAAAATTACATTTTTCCTGAATGCTAGTAGAATAATGAACAGTTGTGTTATTTCAGTATACAATTGTGAAAAAATTCTATTTCAGTTTCAGTTTGTGGCATGGGGTAGTGGTTATGGTCAATGAGAGTGGAGAGAAAAACAAACCAAAAAAAAAACCGGTCCACTTTCACTTACTTAATAACATATATAATAGGTATATATAGATAGATAGTGGTCACGGATCAATTGATGCCATCACCCCTCATTTCTTACTCTCTTTTCTTTCTGTTTTCGATCAATGATCCTATACACCACCACCACCACCAACGGCTACCACTTTATTCAGTTCAATTCATTATTTGGTGACGATAAATAATTGGCTATCTAGCTGCAAGATGGAAATTCAAATTTTTTTAAAACGAAAAAAAATTCAAAAATGGAATGTTCATTGTACATCAACACACTAACAGGATAGACCAACAACAGTAACCATATTATAATTCATATATAAATTGTAAAAATGATGATGATCGTCTTTTTGGTCATCAGATTTCAATTGGTAAATTAGAATAGAAAACAAAAATCATCCAGGCAACATACATTCCTTTGGATGCACAGAGAAAAAACAAGTTATAGCCATTGACTTTGTAACCATCAGAAGGAGAAGAAAGAAAGAAAAAAAAACTTGAACTATGCCCCAAGGCTGCTGCTGCTGCTGTTGTTGTTGATGATGATGATGTATGTATCGATTACCATTAGCATGCATATATGCCAATGGTCGACAAAGATCAATGTGAATTTGAAATTTTTTTTTTGTAAATTTTTCAAAAAAAAAAAAAAACAAATCAAAACTTTTTCGTTCGACCTCGATTTTCATCATGGTGGGGAACACAGATTATCATTTGTTATTCACATTGACCAGCTCGTCAACAGGCGATATTACCCAAAATGAGTGACATCAGGAAACGGGACAAAGTCAAATTTTTCATTGTCAACCAAAAATGGCAGGATTCAAAGATTAAATGTGAAAAAATTGACTGACTGTTTTTTTTCGGCCAAATCTATAATCGGATCAAAAAAAAAATACGCTGTTGACCAGCATAATCTGAATATTTTTATTTTTATTTTCTTGTAACAGCTGCTGCCACTATTAGAATGATCATGTGGTCTATTTTTTTTCTATTATTGTTGATTGATAATCAATTTTTCTTTACCTCATAGACAGGTCATAATTCATTTGAAAATTGTTCAATTTTTTAATAGCAGAAAAAAATTGTTACGAAAAAAAAAATTACGAAAAAGCTTAAGATTGACTCGCCATCTAGTGATTTTCATTACTAACTGCATTTTCAGCCTAAAATCACTAGATGGCTGAATGTATGTTTTGTTTTTTCCGAGTAACAGTAGTAGTAGTAGTAGTAGTAGTATTAACAGAAGTAGGCGTTGATCTTTTCAATCAAAAAAAAACCGATACAAATAATGATGGACAATAGCAATGTGGTAGTGGTACATTTTTAATTCATATGTGAGTTAAACTAAATAATAATATATCAACCAAACGATTGTAACGCCAAATTTCTCGAAGATTATCATTAACATGGTGGTGAAATTGTGAATTAAAATAATCCAAATGAATGTGTCATAGTTGTTTATACTGTGTATAGTGGTTTTCGACGACGACGACGAAGAAAAAAAAAAAAACATTGCAAGAAATTTTTATCGAAAAATCATGATCTGTGATTGGCAAAAAGAACTTGATGTTTTTTTTTATTGATAGAAAAAAAAATGAGTCATGAGTTGTCGTCGTCGTCGTTGTTGTTGTTGTTGTTTGTGTAATGCGGCTTAATTTAGTTTGTTTTCTGCTGTAAAAAAAACTTTTATTAAACACATATCGACATCAAACAACAAAAATCTAAATTGAAAAAAAAATCATTCACACATCGTCATCATCACATCATATTCATTTCAACTTTATTTTCAAGCAAAAAAAAACAAAACAAAACAAAACAAAAACGCCCACTACTTCTGTGTTTGTGTGTGTGTGTTTTGACCAAATATTCAATACGGATTCTGTTATTTCGTTTGGATTCTGTTTTTTTTTTGGATAAATTATTTTAATATCAATTTAACAAATTGCCAAAAAAAAACGAACATTTGAAAGAATCGAAAATTCCAGAAAAAAAATATCCGGTAAGTGTTATTTATTCATTTTTGGTTTGTTTCACTATTTGTTATCGAAACAATTTTTTTTTCACTCATCACTCAACAATCAAATGTCATCATCATGTTGACAATTGTCAAATCAACATGCATTCATTTTGGTATATGAAAATTTTATCGAAAAAAAAGTTCACTCTGAATTTGACGTTTCGAACATTTTTTTTCATTTTTCATTTTTCATTTGCATTATTTTTTTCTGTTCATCATATTTTTTTTCGTCTCCAGGTTACAGTCATTCAATTTGATCATTCGATTTTCGATTGATAACAGAAAAAAATCACCAAATCTCAGCTCACAATATCACATTCGTTTTATTATTATTTGGTGATTGTGTTTATTTATGACACAAATGCGTTCACCGATCATTGTTGGTGATGATTGATTTCAATTTTGATTAGTAATCAATACAAACACAAACACACACACACACACACACACGACGATTGGCGTTACCCGTTATAATTTTTTTCATTTTTATGTTTTATTCTTTCATTTTTACCATTATATATAGTGAAAACAGCAAAGATCATCATAAGATCGATGACAATAACCTAATACAACAACGATAATATTAATAATAACGATCTATTACAATAATTCGGAATGGCCACTACACAACAACAAGTTCCAACATCCAACATAATGAATAATATTTCAACAAATAATGGTGATACAAATAATACTTCTGGTGGTGGTGTTGGTGTTGGTGGTGTGAATGTTGTTGTTGCTGCACCACCACAAGATGCAACAAGACGTTTACAAACAAAAAAACAAACATTAGATGATGCATATGCTGTGCCGGCAAATTTTCTTGAAATCGATGTTTGTAATCCGATTACACATGGTGTTGCACGTAATCGTTATACAGATTATGAAATAAGAATGAGGGTATGTTTCTTTGATTTTCTTTTGGTGTTTAGAAATCAATTAATTTTATTTTTTACAGAGTAATCTTCCAATATTTAAATTAAAAGAATCCAGTGTAAGACGTAGATATTCTGATTTTGAATGGCTACGTTCAGAATTGGAACGTGATTCTAAAATAATGGTACCACCATTACCAGGAAAAGCATGGAAACGACAATTACCATTTCGACAAGATGATGGCATTTTCGATGATGAATTTATTGAGGATCGAAAAAAAGGTCTTGAACAATTCATTAATAAAGTTGCTGGTCATCCATTGGCACAGAATGAACGTTGTTTACATATGTTTTTACAGGATCCAATTATTGATAAATCTTATGTACCGGGTAAAATTCGTAATACATAATGTGTGGAAAATTGAATTTTACTGCTATGGAAGAATTTTTTTTTAAACAAAAAAAAACTGGATTCAAAGAAAAAATTAACGAAAATTTGGAAAAAAATTATTGCAAAAATCAAAAACATCATCGTCATCATCATCATCATCAACAATCAACAACTAACAACAACAACAAAACACCGGTGATTAATAATTGATCCACTAAATTTTCTTTGTTTTTTTTCCATCAGCAACAACAACAACAAAACGCCCACATTTTTCACCAAAAAAAAAAAAAAAAAAAAAACAATAAGCAAATGGCATTGCGATTCTTCAATCTTTTTTTTCTCATCGATCATCAATCAATTCTATATGTTGAAAATGGCTTTGCATGAATTATTCTATATATTTTTTTTTTTTTTTTCATTCGTCAAAAGAGAATTTCTCTTCGCATCATGATCATCATCATCATCAAAAATCATTATATTGTCCGTTGATATAATAATTATTTTAAATTGTTAAATCATCCGAATCTTTTAGTGAATTATTTGTATTTGATCAAATGAAAAAGTGGACAGAAAAAAGTTTGTTTCTCTCAATCATCATCATCGTCATATTATCAATCTGCTGATTATTTTATTGTCATATTTCTCTTCCGCCTGTTTAACCCCCTTTCCCCCGAACACACACACACAATGCCTATATATTCTAATGTTTAATTGTCATTGTCATTTGAACAAATAAACATGAAAATGATTGATTAAAATTAAATTGAAAAAAAACCAAATCATTGAATGTAATTGATTTTTTCTGTTTTTTTGCAACAAAAGATGGCGACACTTGAATCGTTATCGATTCATCATCATTAGGTGACGAATAATAAAAAAATTCAAATGAACCAGATTTTCTTTAATTCTCTCAATCTTTTTTTTTGACGCGGGCCAAAGAATCATCATGAGAATCAACAATTTTTTTTTGTTGTGCTACTGGTATTCACCATTTCATTTCTTTCATTTTTCTCAGCTTTCTCTTGTTGATTGTCATTGTGGTTGACATTTTTATTGGACCCACTTGTATGTATATTTATGTTTGATCGATCGATCGATAGGGGTCCATTAGCAGTGAAAATATTCTCTTTGTAGTGCCATTTCAAATCAATCTATGGTCCTATGTTTTTTCTTTTCTGTAGAATTGAAATTTACTCAATTTTTTCATTTCCGTAGCTCATTTTTTTCAATACGCGTGGACCAAGAAAAAGTTTTATGGCTCAAAACACATTTGAAAATTCTTCATGGTTCAAAATGTCACCTAGTGACACACACACACAGTATGACAAGTTCATTTTGAAATTTCATCGACAACCATCAAAAAACACGAGCCTAGGCCGACTCGCGCACACACACACACACATTGCCGTGGACACGAAAATTGGACAAAAATTTTGTCAAAAAAATTTTTCTTTACATGCTGGGATTTCAAATCAAAGCGACAGAGAGAGAGAGAGGGAGAGGGATTATTTTCAATTTTTTCTTCTCGCTAATTCATTCATTCAATTTTGATCGAAAAAAAAAATCGAAAGTCAACATTTTTTTCCAGTATTATCCCGATCACCAGAACCACCACCCAAACACCTTGACATTAACAGAGAAAAAAAAATCATTTTTTCTTCTTCGAAAATTGACAAAATCGGCCTGTCATAAACACCACCACCACCAACAACAACACCAATCCGGTGTGTATTGTTTCTCTCTCTCTCTCAATATCACCTGTCATTTCTATTCATTCACATTCATTCAATGGGTTTCTCAAATGGAATGATTGTAATCAAATTTTCATTTTCATTTTTGGGACCTCTAGGTACCCTGATTTTTTTTCCATTCATTCCACCACTAATAATAATTCATAATAAGTTAACTTTTTTTTTCTCTCTTTCAATTTGATCATGTCACCAAATAAGGGGGAAAAGATAGAAAACAAACAACTCAATTACAAACTGAATATATGTATCGGTGGTGGTGGTTGTTCCCATTTTTTCCAGGATCACCCATATATATTGGTAGCCAGCCACAACAATCACCACCACCACCACCACCCAAAGTGTGAGGTCATCATCATCATCAATTGGTCAAATATAGACGACGACGACGACGATTTTTTTTATTGAATTTTATTTATTTATTTATTTGAATTTTTGGATTGTTCAACAACAACAACAAAAAAATAAGGGCCCAGAAAAAAGTATCGTTTTTTTTCGCCAGTTTGTTTGTATGATAGTTGGTTGCTTGCAGGTGTTCGTTGATTTTTTTTTTTTTTTTGGTTTGTCACTAATCTGGCCATTGAATATGAATAAAACATTTGTCCATTTTTTTTTACTCATTTGATTCAATCGACAACTTTTTAATCGAAATCGATGAAATTCGGTCCAACGATTTTTTTTCTCCATCTATTTAATCTTTGCCAATGAATGAAGCGATTATCTTTGATTTTCGTCGTTTTTGTTTTGTTTTGTTTTGTATTTTCACTCGTTCTGTGAAAACACACAACCAGCCAATATTATAATAAACCGACGATTAAAATGAAATGGAATCCTTGGAAATTTGACCTTTTTTGTTCAACAACAACAACAACAACAAGAGAAAACAAAAATCAATCGATTGATTAGATTGATAGAAATCGTTTCAAGCATCAAAAAAAAAAAAAAAAAAAATTATTTGTCGTGTTCGATAATTTTGGCAGCATGAACAACAACAACAAAAAAAACTCCTCCTTCTCCCATACTCATTGCCAAATCGAATCAAATTAATCGAGTTTTTTTCTTCTATGGAAAGATGAATTTAGCCTTTTGTAACAATCAACAACAACAACAACAACAACAACAACAAAGATTGTGATTGACCATCAACACAAGTCTATTATTATTATTATTTCTGTGTAAAAGACGAGATAAAAAAAATCGATGCTTCACGAATGTATTGAAAATCGCCAATAAAAAAATACAAATCATCATCATCATTATTTGGGATATAGGTGGTCATCGAATGGTCAATTTTTTTTCTCCTTTTTGAATGAAAAAACATCACTAACATTGATGATAATGAGATGGGATGCAAACCAACAACACACACACACACACAGACACTAATTATATGATTTTCAGTCTCAATGTGTGTGTGTGTGTGTTTCTCTGGTTTTATCTAACGGGTTATCAAAAAAAAAAAAATCCAGCCGACTAATCACGATTTGAACTCAAAAACAAATCACGCTCTTATCATATTACACAATCATCATCAATGTGTACTAATTTACCAGAAAAGAATACAAAAAGATTTTTTCTGGTTATCCAATAAATGAATTTTGGTTTGGTTTTTTTTTCTTTCATTTTGAAAAAATTTTCTCATTTTATTTTCCTTGATGTTTCTCTCTCTGTGTGTGTGTGTGTCAGTGTGTGATTAGATTTTTGCAAAATATTATTACTTTATTATGATTATTGATTATTGATTGATTTTCAATTTTGATTTAAAATTCAAATTATAATATAATGATGGTGATTGAAAATAAATGACCAATTTCAATGGCCAATAATGATAATTTTTTTCATAATTCATTGACGCATGCGCATCAGTTTGATTTTTTTTTGTTTTGTCTTTCATTCTTCATTTTTTTTTATCATTTGGGTGTGATTAATTCAATTTTTTTCTTTCATCATCTTTTTGGCTTCATCATTAAACCAAAAAAAAAAAAAAAAAAAAAAAAAAACAAAACAAAACACAAATACCAAATCTTGCAATCCGTTTCATTAGCCAATTTCCTTGTTTTTATGATTAATGATGTGTGTGTGTGTGTGTGTGTGTTCGGTTGTCTGAAAACGCCAGAAACAAACCTGATGATTGTGGTTTTTTTTAGCCAACATGGATAATGTGCCATTAGATGATGATGATGATGATCTCAATCTTGAAATGCAAATTATCATCATTTTCTTTCGTTTTTAGAAACAACAACAAAATCTAATCATTTTTTTTGTTGACCAAATGATTAGATGATTTGTTTGGATTCCAGCAGAAAAAATGCCTTAATTATAGCTAGAAACAAAAACAAACAAACAAATGAATGAATGAATGAGTGAATATAGAGTGAAAATGTGGAATCATCAGGCTATTTAAACTTGCAAAAAAAAAAAAAAAAAATTTAAATATCATTACCATATCGATAGATTTGAAAAATTCAAATCAGAAAAAAAGGGTCGTCTACGTTACAGATAATAATGTGGATGGAAACAATTTTCAATTTTGAAAAAATTTCGTTTGTCTTTTGTAACAACAACAAAAAGATTTTTTTTTTCGCGATAAATTATCATCATCATCATCATCAATTTTCTTCTTTCTCCAAACTAATTGCTAACCATCTTTTTTGATTATTATGATCCGTCCAATGATGCTAATGATGATCAAAATTCAAGTAAAAAAAAATTGACTTTTTTTCTGAATTATTATCAATGGATGCGAAATGTCTATATATGTGTGTGTGTGTGTGTGTGTGGTCAGTGACCGAATTGGTTTCTGTTCGAGTGTGTGTGTGTGTGTGTGGTCAATGACCATCAAATGTATAGTATTTTTTTGTCAATTTTTACAAATAAATCCATTTTTTTTCGCTGAAATAAATAAACAAACAAAGCAAAAACACACATATTTCATAATTTGGTCAGTTTATCATTGTGGATTTTTTTTTTGTCAATTTCAATTATCAATTTTTTCGTTGTTTCTGCCATCTAGGTCATTGATTTTTTTTTCTGCTGAATGTTTCATGTGTTCACCAATCGAACAACAATTGATTAGTATATACAATGTGAGAATATTTTCCGATTCAAGTTCAAGTTTTCAAAGTAAAAAAAAAATAAAGAAGAAAAAGATCATTTTAAAGAAAATCAATGATATGAATGATGATTATTTATTTGAGATTTGATGACAACTTCTGGAATCAATCTGATTCATTCAAAGATTGATTGATTGATTGACTGATTGATTGATTGATCAACCGGTTGATCAATCAAAAATTTTTTTTCTTCGGGATATGAATGAAAAAAAAATAAATTTAGGTAGTTCAATCAATCG